CGGTGCATTGACGCCGTCCCAGTGTACTTTGCCCCTCACGCAAGTGAGGCGGTGTCCTTTGACATTCTGGACACCAAATTCGACATGATTTTGGGCATGTCATGGCTGCGAAGCAAGGATCACCCGGTGAACTTCTTCAACCGCACCGTTCACGTTCGTGATCGGAACGGAGTATTAGTTCCATGCACGGTGCCTCTTCCTCACCCTTCGATCAGCTGCCACGTGGTATGCGCCGCAAGCATGCGAGCTTCCATCATCAAAGACGACATCGAGGAGATGGGGGKGTGTTTTCTCCACGCCCTCCCGCCACATGACGCTTCATCGACGGACTCACCTTCGGATCCACGCATCACGGAACTTCTCGACGCCTACAACGACGTGTTCGAAGGCCCGCACAGAGTAGTACAGGATCGACCCATCCGCCACGAGATCATCCTCGAGGACGGGGCCGTACCTCCGCGCGGTTGCATCTACCAAATGAGCGAGGAACAGTTAAGTGTGCTTCGGGCACAACTCGACGACCTTCTGGAGAAAGGCTGGATTCGGCCTAGCTCATCGCCATACGGTGCTCCTGTTCTCTTCGTCCGGAAGAAGAACAAGGACCTGCGGTTGTGCATCGATTATCGCAAGCTCAACGCGCAGACGATCAGGAACGCCGACCCTCTCCCACGCATCGACGACCTTCTCGAGCGATTGGGCGGCGCCCAGTTCTTCTCCAAGCTGGATCTCAAGTCAGGGTACCACCAACTCGAGATTCGCAAGGAGGACCGTTACAACACCGCATTCAAGACACGGTATGGGCATTTCGAATGGTTGGTTATGTCGTTTGGCCTTACGAATGCCCCAGCCACTTTCCAAGCGGCTATGACAACGGAGTTCCGACACATGCTGGATCGGTTTGTACTCATCTACCTCGACGACATCTTGGTGTATAGTCGGAGTTTGGACGAGCATGTGGAACACCTGCGCACCGTTTTGGAGCGGCTACGACAAGCCAAGTACAAGGACTTGCTGACTTAAGCCCGCGCAAATATGCAAAAGGCTCAAGTTCGCATGCAGCAGCAGCCAACAGACGTCGCGTACCATGTCCCATCCACGCCGGTGATCTGGTTTGGGTTTCCGCGGAAGAGTTTGCACTGGAACAGGACGTTTCATGCAAACTGCTTCCCAAGTCGTTTGGATCTTGGTCTGTGACAGCAGCCGCGGGCGATGAGCCCGATGGCCCTTCATTTGTGATCAACATTCCAGAGCATCTGATGGTCCATCCGGTCTTCCACGCCTCGAAGCTGGCAACATACACGCCAGCCAAGAGCGACGACTTTCCGGGCCGACGATCGCAGGACCCTCTTTCTATGGATGGCCATCAGGAAGTTGACCGTGTCATCACCGATCGCAAGTACGGCAGCAAGCCGCGACAGTACAAAGTCACATTCAAAGCATGCGATCGCGACGACACTCGGTGGATTTCAGGAGCAGATTTGAAAGCATCCGCACCGCTGATCTACGCTCACTATGAACGTCAAAGGTTAGCCAAGGGACCTTCACGACCTGCCCCTCCCACTCGGACTGTGGTCCCTCCCTTAGACAGACAGCTTCGCCCTCGCAGGTAAGCTCGGTCTTTCAAGGAGAGGGGGGTGTGGCATACTGCGTATCCACACGGGCCCTGTAGGACCCGTCCCGGACATTCAGCCTAAAAGCCTTAAACTTAGGATCTACAGGCCCCGGTCGTTTCAGCCTGAAAACAGAAAAAGGAGGGCCTGCAGGCCCTTCTTCATTTCAGCCTATTTCTGGGTCTTTCAGACCCAGAGTTTTTCCAGCCTGAAACGGAGGGCTATTCTAAGGCCCTGGACTATTTTAGGCCCTCATTTGTTTCGACCTGCCCTAAGATTCAGGCACGAAAACTGGGTTTCGGAACAGGCTATTTCTGGCCTGTTCCCACGCCAGCTCGAGCAGGAGCTGCAGCTGCAGCCCCTGCCTCCCTGCGGCATTATTGGCATTAGCACGAGCAGGAGCTGCAGCTGCAGCCCCTGCCTCCCTTCAGCATTATTGGCAAGAGCAGCCTCCTGGACTGCTCGCCCGAGTCAGGAGGCACCCGTGATAGTACATAGGAGCTTCAGGCACTGAATGGGTAGGCAGTTGGAGAGTAGGACGGTGGTCTTCAGATTTCGGCCGCAGCACTCAGGAGGAGCGCTGCAGTAGTCTTCAGCGCTAGGCGGTAGTAGTAGCGCTAGCTGTAGTCATCAGTGCTGGGCGCCATAGCCATAGCTGTAGTCATCAGCGCTGGGCGCTAGTAGGAGGTAGAGCATAGAGTTGGGAGAGGTACTGGCGGAGGCCAGTGGTACTTACCTGTGGCGCCATCGCTCCAGCTCCATCTTCGAGGTACCTGCATCAAGGCGTTAACTTCACAGGTTAGTACTGGACTAAAACTTCACAGGTTAGTACTGGACTGAGAGAGAGAGAGGGAGAGAGTTCTTCTTCCTCTTCTTCTAAGTCCACCATCTCTTCTTCCCCTCTCACCACCTGACTTCTCAGTATCAGCGGACTACTACAGAGAGAG